TCGTTCATCGAGAGAGGGTAGAGGCGATTTAAGAAAAATTCGCGTAGAGCCAAGGTGGTCCACCCACGGTGAAGCGCGCACATTGTAATTCGGGGTCTCGGCTGGAAGCAGAGAGAGAGGATCGTGGATCAAAAATGGCTTCGGGTCGGTCTTTGTACAGCCGGTGCTTTCCGGCGTGCAACTACCTGCCACGGTTGGCACACACAGTTTGCTCGCTCGCTCGCTTCGCGTCCTTTTGCGAGAGAGTTTTACCTTTACCACCACGTACCTGGCCGACCAGCCAGTCGTCGTTCGTTCGCTCGCTCGCTCGTCTATCTACGCTCCGTCGTCGTTTCTGCCCCAGTGTTCCAGGACCGGGTGTGTTCGGAGGGGTCCCGAGTTCCACGGAAAAAGCCTTGGGTATATCTTTACGAGCGGAGCCATAAAAGCCGTAGGAGTTCGTCCGTTTCTCGATTAACTCTCGTGGGGTATGGATCGCGTTCGACCGGCTACGATCCTTATTGTCGAGTATATCCTTTGCGCGGGCCTGTATAATATACATGAACGAAGGAACTACCGTCCTTCGAAACACCCAGTCATCCCGTCATCGTCATCGTCTTTGTCACCGTCGTCGTTATTATAAGTTTGAGCCGAGAGGACAGGATGAGATTTGGACAAACGTTGCCCCGCTTCTTCTAAGCACTCCTGATCCTAGAATACCAAAACTAAATATGTCTCTTTCCCGTATTCCTTTCGTTAGTCTTTTGAACGCTCTCTCCTCCTCGCTTATCCGAACCGAATATCTTCTTCTCGTCCAAGAGCAACGAGATCGAGATCGTTTGTTTCGTCGATCACCCCCTCCCCCTCCTTCCTCCTGTTCCCGCTGGTACTCTTCCTACCCTTCCTTCCACCATCATTCCATTTTCCATTGTCCCTCTCATTACTCGACCACGGTACGCGCCGAGCGTGTATTGCTTATCTGTTGCATACATCGTTACACCCTTCACGATTCGCAGCGAGGAACGGAAAGAATCGTTCTCCTTTCTTTTCGATAAACGTTTACGGCGATAAACGAGGAGTTAAACGTAATTAAGTTGGATCGATACGTCCCGAACATTTCCCTCCTATGATCCCCACTCGCTCATGCATCATTTTATACGCCTGCCGACAACGTGAGAATATGTAGTTTTCGTTTAAGAATGCGCTACACGCCTACTTTGCCCTTCTTCCTTTCTCTCTGTCACTCTTCTCTCTCTGCTCGCTGAACGTTATATATATATACGCTCCTTTCGATCGATCGTTATCTATATAACCCCGTTTTTTGTTTCGCTCGTTTCATCGTTTTTTTGCCGGCGGACACGAATTCGCGTAATACTCTACCGCGATCCACACTAACTTATCGCGATCCCTTTTAATACTATATAATTATTACACAAGATTTAGGAGTTTGTTATTCGTTCAGTCGAAGTGTAAAGTCGAGGGCGCGCTAGCTCGTTTAATATATTTAATTATTTGAGGCAGTTTACGTCATTTTGTTTAAGGCCGAGTTAATATAGTAGTGAACTATGTTGAGAAGGTGTACGCACGCGTTTTAACCGCGCCGTGGTGCGTGCACACGCCATTCTTCGTCGGCTGATTCACAGTGAACGGACAACCCAGGAGGATAGCGATACGTGCAACACTCTGTTGTCTCGTGAAAATCCACCGCCAATTTAGTTTAATTTCGAACGACGTCTCGCAGGGGGACAAGGGACCCACGGTCTGTCGCATCGAAAGTGGCATACTTTGTGCCCTCTTATCTTTACCGCCCTTCTCTTTCTCGCCCGTTTCCTCTCCACCGTTCCTCGTTGTCCGTCGAATGTGAATCGAGCTTTTATCCGATGCGCGTCTACTGTATACGCACAAAAGTATATACGTTCGTATATAGTGGAGGGCGAGGCACGTTCGAGCACAGTTTCTCTATCTCTCGTTTCTTTCGTTTTCTCTCTCACACACACTCTCTCTCTCTCTCTATCTCTCTATCTCTCTCTCTCTCCATCAAACGACGCGATGCACACGTATTTCGAGAATAAGCTTGATCGTATATTTACGTATAGTTCGTTACGCGCGACGTAGGACAAAATATTTGATGCCAGACTTTTTTTTTCTTTTTTCTCGTACCCGCTTACGGAGGAAGCACGTTTTATTACAGAGTAAATATATGCCTTGCTCTCTCGCCGAACTACAAACGCGACAAACAATCAAGAGTTTTTGCGGATCAATCGAGCAAAGTAAAGAGAAAGAAGAGAGAAATTCCCCCCCTCCCCGAAAAAAAAGAAGAAGGAAAGGACAAGGAAGACGGAAGAAGGAAAAGTAATCGTTTAGAAATGCACTCGTTGAATGCAATGTTAAATAAAAAAAAAAAGAAAAGAAAAAGAAGAAAAAAAAAATGACCGGAACGACCGCACATGCCGTGTATTATTTCCTTCGCGATACACACGTGTCGCATCGAGTCATGTGGGTGTTCTATGTGATGTTTAACGCGTATATTACACAAGCACGCTCGTTCTTATACTCGTTGAACTCGGCGGCGAGCATAGAACTCGTTCGTTGAAAATACATCTTCGATCGAGACGTTTCCAACTTAATAGGGATAGCACTAGGTTAGGATAAACAAGTTGAACAGAGAGAGAGGACAAAAATGAAATTTCTATGCAAGTGGATTCTGCCACGTATATATATATATATAT